ATATATATCTAGCATATTTTACTTATGCTGCATTAGGAGAGGGGGGGATCCCCACTCAGCGTTGCCTGGTTGGCTGCTGAAATTGAATTTGCGCTGTTAGCTTTACAGTTTGACAAATTCGCAGCAAACAAGCCAAAAGTGTCTGCAGCTTCGTTCAGCTTGAATGACGGAGCGCATTGTCCCCTTCAGCTGCAAGTGGAGAGTTTTTACACAAAAATTGAACGGGCTGAGGAAGGGAGGAGCGGGGCGAGTTTTTGCTGATGGGTTTGTCGCAAATTTCTATAAACTTGGGCAAAAGTTTTTTCCAGCAAGCGTTTAGATGACGACGATGATTAAACTTAAACTAAATTAAAAGTGTAACAACGTAAGCAGGATCAGACAATGCTATAGTTCATTGAATGTCGAAATAATGTCTTTGTACCCCATTGAAATCCACCTTTAACTAAAACTTGGTGAATTGATGTAGAGAGTGGTTGAAATCTTTATATATAAAGTATGTATGATCTATATTTGTGTATGCATATCAATTGTTGTGGACTAGATTTCTACATATATACATATACATGCGTATATATCTATTGGATAAGATTGAAATTATAAGGATCTCATTATATATAGAGCATCCCTAAGCCCACTCAAGCTGTTTTGCTGAATAAGTGAGTTGGATTAGAGTAGGCGAATTGCCTTTAAGATTGAGCCTATCCATTCAGTGGCTTACTAGGCATTGATGGGTATCCTAACAGCAAAACTCCCTAGGGTTAAACGCAATATAACATATATTAAAAAACTCGAGCTTGATAATATTAACTATGAATATATTAATACATATCAAATATGAAATATTAATCTATATTATGAATATAAATAGTTTATTAAATTTTCTTAGAACCAACCTCAATTAACATAAAAATATTATAAAATCTCTATAGAAATCCATAAATAAAACACCTGCAATAGAAAATATCTACAAGCATCTACATATGTCTGGGCTTATATAGCATCCCAAATGCTGTGAAATTCGTCAGCTGAATGCAAATGGCGCAGATTTCTTTCAAAAGTTTTTCTAGTTCCACTTGCTCATGTCTCAGAAATTAACAATTGTTTGTGATAAAACAAATATTTTTAACTCAAAAAAAAAAAAAAAAAGAAAGAAAACAACAATTTTAAAAGTTTCTTAGAGCAAATTTTCAACTTTGGCAGTCAACAAAAAAGAGTTTGCATTCAGTTCGCTTCGATTCGCAAAGCGATTCGCACAGACCCAGCTCGGCTCGGAGTGGGCAAAAAGTTGAAAAAAAAAGTGATTTGATTTTGTTTAATTGAAAAGTGAACTTTTTAAGTGAGTGCAAATACGTTCGATTGCCAGTCGGAGCAAATTTCGCACCTAAAAAGGTAATTTCTGTATCGGGAACATAAACGAGCTCTGCGATTGCGAAATATTTGTGTAGCCAAAACTAATTACGGAGATTTTCCCACCACGTTGAGGGCCGCACGATTAGAGCCAAAATTAATGACAGCGCGCTGTCACACACACACACACACACACATAGGCAAACATGGGGTGGGGGCTGGTTAATCAAAGTGTCGGCCTTCGCTAAGTTGCCGTAGCTGAGGGATGCGTTAGCGACGTGATTGGAAAATAATTGCATTAATTATCCCGCACAAGCAGCTGATGCTCCTCAGGCCGAGGCTGTGCTGGCCTTGATTGAGCAGCTGCCAACTGGCTCCGAATTGGTTTGTTGCCACTTAAACGGGAATTATGAGCGTGTCTGGGGCATATGCAAAGCCGCTTTAAGATTGACTGCCCCGATAAGTTGGCTATTTCTGGCAGCCAAACTGGCCCAAGGCTCACGGCCCAAGGCCCACGGTCCACGGCCGATGTCCAAGTGAAATCAAGCATTCAAAATTCACTTACTTCCGGTTATTTTAGTACGCAAAGTAGAGTCAGCAGTCGGAGCCGGGTGCGGGAGTGACCCGATGCTTAGTCGCTTGTGTAATGCGAACTTAGTAAATGTCCAAATGAATGACTTCACTTGACTTTAGTTAAAATATTTACTCATATTTTGCACCCGGTCTGGGGAACATGTGTTTGTGGCTTTCCGTACAGCTCTAATTATTTACGCATCAATGCGTGCGCACTCTTTGCGTTGCGGGTTGCGGGATGATGGAGCTGGTGATGGGGCAAGGACCCGACACACACACTTAATACACTCTATGTGCCACATGCCACATGCCACGTGCTACATGCTACATGCCCCATTCCACCGCAGGCAGACGAGACGAGTCTAAAAATAAACTTTACAAAGTTCGGCAAATGCCTTAGAAGTGTCCCATGAATATCTAGCTGAATTAAA